GGTCTTGCTAAAATTTGAACAAATAAATACGGAATACATGAGTGCCATTGTGATACCCCAGTTTGTATAATAATTTTTAATTGTTTGTATGCTATTTATATTATGAACTACTTTATTGTAAGCCCAGGGGGAGGGCAGTTTGACTTACACATTTCCCGGGGGAGGGGGAATTAATGCATTAGAATCATGTTTTTGCAATGTCCCGGGGGTGTACCCCCAGGGCCAGGCCATTGATATGTGCATTATATACAAGTAGTAATCGAGTTGAAATATTATATAATAGTAATAAATTATAGTATATTTCAATAAATGAATGTATGGTACAGTACAAGTGTTTCATTAAAATTTTGAAAAATGCCTCACCTGTAGTGCTTTTCAGTTTTTTATTTATTAACATATGGAAACAGAATCACCATAGTCCTCGAAATTTCAAAAGTTTGTTTCCCATCATGACAATTATTTCAATTTCTCGTTAATTTAGTAATTTATTACTCGTTTTCTACGGCTCCACACAAAATACTGTAGGTCTGCACCTACCGATACTCCAAAAGCATACATGCAACATGGGCAAAAATACCACCATTCGTTCAGCTCATGAATATTATCTGTTTGGATCATCATTTATACATTTCACGGCAGAAATTGTGGAGATAGTCGCTCGAATGAATTAAAGCTCCAGCTTGAACTTGATATTAGTTGGTGTATTGATATTTTGTTGACGTTAGATAAAATAAGTAATTGCTGCCGAGCGTAGCTCGGCAGCACACTAATCTCTACACGTGGTGTGCTTACCACGTGACCGCCGAGTTTATAGCTGCTACAATCTCGATTTATGTCATTCTGTCATCCACGGACGGGCCAAAACTAGCTGTTTTGATATTATTTTTTTGTTCCCGGGGGGGTTTGTTCACAACATGGCGACTGTTATAAACGGACAGAAATATAAAAATCATAAAATAATGCGAATTTCCATAAAAATTCCGAGTAATATTTGTGAAGATGAATGGGTAAATAAAGCACGGTGTTATTTTGTGTCTCTGGCGCAAGAATGATCGACAATATTTTGAATAATTCAGGTAAGGATGGCTTTATTTCGTTCTCGTATAGTGATGTAGTCGTGCCGTGTGCCCTGTCTACCTGTCTGGTGATATATTTTATAATACATGAAGGCATTTATATTTAAATCTGCTGTTTATACTTGTTTAGTCACTTTAGTGTATTGAACTTCGATATAGAGGCATTGAAACAAAATGATTTCAAGAATATATCGGCAATTATAATACCCACTGAATCACTGATCTATTCCCGACCAAATCGACAGTAATGATTAATGCCTTTATGCTGATACAAGAAGCAAATGAACTTTTAGTTTATTTGTTTGTTATGTCACTTAATATGTGCAAAGCCAAAGGCGGTGAGTATATAATAGTGTTCGGTACGTTCTATTTCTAAATGTTTATAGTTTAAAAACAAACGCGGGATGTTGTTAAATCAGGCTTAACAAGATTCCTAGAGCTACCCAGTGTGGATTGTTGTCTGCATATATGGACTTATCAGCAATTACATGTAATATAGCATATCAACTGACTTTTGTATAAGATATGACTTGTATAAGGCCTCAGTTATATATAAAGCCTATAAACATGATTCTACTGACATACATTGATATATACATATGGCTGTGTTACCACAATAATGCTCACAACTTCAACTTCTTTCTAACAATATAGTTTTGCAGTTCTGACTGTTCTGAGTATGATCTTATTCATTCAGAAATATAAGCATTGCACTGTATTCAATGGCAAGCTATCCTGGATTCCAGAGCCTTCAGTTAATAATAAATTGAAATATCGTGAAGGCTCTGGTTCAACGGGAGGATTCTTTGATTAAACTGTGCCAATCACAAAACAGAATTAGCAGTTTTAGTACAGATTTTGGGCGTGTTAACCCATTAAGCGCCAGCGCTCTCCCCTTGACGAGTAAAATCGTCTGGCGTTAGACAGAGTAAAATACTCTGGCGTTAGACAGAGTAAAATACTAAAGTAGGGTACATCAGGGTGCAATGCGACCCAATGGGTTAACTAGACACATGGGCAGATAGATCAGTTAACCCATTAAGAGCCAGCACTCTCCCCTTGACAAGTAAAATCGTCTGGCGTTAGACAGAGTAAAATACTGTTCAAAGTAGGGTGCAATGCGACCCAATGGGTTAACTAGACACATGGGCAGATAGATCAGTTAACCCATTAAGCTCCAGCACTCACCTCTTGACGAGTAAAATCGTCTGGCGTTAGACAGAGTAAAATACTGTTCAAAGTAGGGTGCATCAGGGTGCAATGCGACTCAATGGGTTAATATAGCACATAACATAGGTCATAGACATACAGTTTCAATACAATACAAAATGATTTTGAACAATGTCAAGGTCAATGAAATCATACAAAATGAATTTATGGAATATCAATTAAATGTATTTAAAACAAACATAATTTCAACATCCCAATAAGCAATTATAACATCCCAGTAAGTATAAATTCAACTATTTTAAATCAATTGTTTGAATAGCCAAAGTAAAAGTTGTATGAGTGACAAAATCATTCAATAATATTCACATTTTATCATTTATATTATGTGTCAACTATCAAAGTCGCACTGTTAAGTATATTAAAATATACTTTTCATAAGATTAGATGTAAGATATAATTGTACGAAGGTAACTGAGGAACGACGATGTGTAAGACAATAAATCATACATACAGTGAAAAACGCTCTTTTTGTAGCACATCCTACATGTACATATCGGCAGCATTTTCCTTGCGATAGTAACTCCTAGTATTAATCTCTAAGTTAATTAGTTAATAATAGACAGTGGATATGATTGACAGTTTGCATGTTTCACGAGTCGAAAACAACATGAAGACAAGGCGTGTGCTTAGGAAAACATACGAAGCAAATGTAGATTAAAATGTGTTAACCCGCCAAGAAGTAAGTTCATATTTGTGTATTAGAGTATGTATATAGTGTAGAATTAGAAGTAATTTGTAGTTGTAATTTAACTTATAGATCGAATAAAAACAGTGTAAACAATATACGATTTGACGGGCAATGTATTCAT